AATATTTTTTCCTTTTATATGGTTATTTGTAAAAACTATATTTTTTACATTTAGTTAAAAATAATTTTTTTAGTTAGAGGAATAAATATCTTTATGAGAAAATATCATTTTTTAAAATTTTCTTTCATATTTCTCCTATACAAAATAACTTTAAAAAATTATTTATTTTATATGCTCATTCTTTCTTTCAATCAATCTCCATTTCCATTTTTTTATAGTTTAAAAATCTTTTTTAATGCTCAACTATAGAGTGGTTATCTGCCATTTTTAAACTTTTCTTTTGCGTATCCTACTACATTTTTGTCAGAAGTTTTCTTTATTTGCTTACAGAGAGTTCTGCATGGAAGGTAAGCATTTTACATGAATGTAATGGCCGATGTAAACATTACACCGAAAATAAATAGAATAAGAAAAAAAAAACGCCACATTCAGAGAGATTAAAATGAAAAATTGTTATATTGAAAAAAAAAGCATATTTAATTTGAGACTTGTCCATCATCAACACACCAATCAGAAACTCTACACCACCTATACATATTTTCTTCAATTACCATAATCGTGAAACATCAAGTGATAAACCCTCAAGCTACCCAAATTTTATAAACTTACTATGGTTATAACACCATTTTCAAAATACAAACCTGAATCATAAAGATATACACATTACTCTGTCCATTGATACAACTACAAGCTAAATCTATTTTTGTTAAATCCCCAACTAAAACCACAAAACCTCTATTGCCCTCAAGACACCATTGTCAAAGCTACCACTTTGTGATTATAGATTATTAGATTCATAGCTTGCATGCATTAGAATTTAGAAACCACCATTGCCTAGAACTTTGCCTCCCTCAACTTCGTGGCCCTGGATATAAGCCTTCACATTACACATTGCATCTAAATTCATCCATTTTATTTGTCAACACCATAATTCATCCTTAAACATCACTAAATAATAACACCATTACCACGCGCTCCTGATAAATTTCGTCTTTATCTCTGTCATCATAGATCATATTTGATTGATTTTTGAGTAGAAAAGTCATCTAATCTCATCAACCTATTTATAAATTCAAATCCAATCTAATTCAAACTAAATTTAAACTGGTTTAAGTTGATTTTTTTTTAAGTGAGCAAATCGTTAAGATGTTTTATATTGATTAGGAATAGAGCCAAAATATTCCTTATAAAGGGATAAAATGATACTCTTTCTATGAGTTAACTTTTAAGAGTGAATTAAGTACAAAATTTTAAAAAGATATTAGAGTCTCTTCAAATTTGGACTATCTCAAAGTTTATTCCTTTTAACTTTTAACAATAAGTTAGGCATAAGTTTCTTAACATAAATAAACCTGAAATTTATAATAAATATAATAAAAACTTGTTGAAAATATTTCATTTTACAAGTTATAAAATAGTTGATGTTGATAAAACTCATTTTTGACTCAAGATATTAATGTTATTAACGTATCTTCTACCTGTATGTTCATTAAAACATATTTCTTTATAATACACTTTCCGTAAATAGGTGTAAACTAGGTACTTAGCTCGCACAGCACGTGGGTATGCTAATTTTTTAATTTTAAAAAGTTTCATGATTATTTACAAAATTTAAAATGTAAAAAAATATATTTCTCTTTTGTCTTGAATTTAACTATTGTTTAAGATATTTTTATTTCAATTTTGAAATTATATTTAGATGCCTTGAAAAAGGAATGTAAAATTAGCCAAAAAATAATTTAGGTGAATATTAATGCAAATATAAGTTAAGGTAATTTAGTGATAAGATTGATGAAGAAAATAAAATAAGAAAATTATTTATATTTTTAGCAATATAAAATCCTAATTTTGGTTTCTTGTAAAAGATAAAATTTTTACATTTTTCGAAGTTCAAAAAAATTGAAAGAAATTATTAAATGTTGATGTCAAAATAATGAGAATTCTGTAGAATAATTTTTATTTTCATTATTTATAATAGAAGAATGGTCAAGAGAATGAACAACATTTATGGTTCTACGAGGGTACTATTTATCGTAAAAGCTTTCTAATTTTGATTCGTTATATTTGGTTCAATTTGATTAAAAAATTTGATTTATCACATATATATATATATATATATATTATTTTTTTATTGAAAAGGATTGATTTTTCTTAAATAGAATTTATAGGTGAGTCAGGTAGTGGGTTCAAGTCGAATGTTTTATTAAAAATGGAATTTTTGTGTGAAACAAAATTGTGTTTAAAAGTAGTCGTTTGTCTTAAAAAATATTTATAAAGATAGAGTTTTAGACTAGTCTATTAAAAATAAATAAATCCCAAATATGTATTTACTTCATCCAGATATAGCACTTTTCTTTTTGTTTTAATCATTCGTTTGTTAATTTAATTTCTACGCCAACATCCATTAGATTTACCTATGATGCTTGATGTAACTATTATTCGAAAGACATGTTTTATATATGATAATTCTAATACATTAATAAAATAAAAATATAGTATTCAAAATAGTATACTAATGAATATTTCTTCTACAAGATAAATAGATAATACCATGAACTAAGTTAAAATTTCTCTATTTTATTCAGATTTGAATTCTCTGAAATAAAATAAAAACATAAGAGTTTATTTATCATTAACTTTAAGTCTGTTATATTTATAAAATAGTTTAATTTGAATTAAAGATGGATAAGATAATACTCTCATTTTATACATTCTTTCACTTTAGATAAATTCAATCTATTTTATCAATATGAAAATATATAAATAAACATCTCAATACTTTTTTTAGTATTTTGTATTATTTGAGAATTTAGAAGAAAAAAAGAATGAAAAATTAATTTAAAAAGTAAGAGAATGGAAAGAAAAGGAGAGAAAAAGTTAAACTCTTCTCGTTTAAATGCTAAAAAATTTCTAAAATAAAAAAAAATAAAAAAGAACAATTTAAAGTTATTTATTATTTTAAAATTCTAAAAAAAATTCTTAAATGTCCCCGTTTTTTTCCCCTTCTTCTCTAAATTAAACTTGCTAATAAAGTCTTAAAAAAATTGGTATCGTAAGAGATGGTTTTCTTGAGTGTACGTCAAATCCAATTTAATACAGAAAAACTGTGAAAATAAACAAAAAAGAATATGTAAACAATAGTTCATTAGTTAAGAGCTAAATTATACGCCATGATTCACTCAATTTTTGTAAGAGATTTGGCCTATCCTCTAAGTATACGTCCTACTCATAACCAACTCAATTACCATCTGCTTCTTCTACAATATTGCCTTCTCCATGATTTAAATATCAAATTTACATCCCTAAGCCTTACTGATAAAGTTGTTTGATATAAATTATTTTTTCCTTGATAATAAATAAATCGTATGTTAGATTATATATGTTTCCCTATAATGAACATCTCATGATATTTTAGGAACTGTCTCTCATGGTAGCCAATTGTGATTTGTGACATCAAACACAGTCTTTTGGATGTTTCATGATAATGACTGAAGAGCTAAAAATAAGGTATAGGTATGGTTTCAAATCAAACATAGAAGCGGTTTTTAGGATCGTGTTTGCTCAAATAATGCACGCATCAAGGCTTGAAAAGAACTAGGATACCACATATCACCCCTTCAAAGATTCTCATATGTGTTTTGGATGAGTCAGTCAACACTGGAAAGGACAAAATGCCTGAAGATTTATTTTCATGGTTCCTTAAATTATTTGTGCTGATTTTGGAAAATGTTTACTCAAGTTCATAATTAAATTTACTAATCATTCATTTGTTGTTATGAGTCTTGGCTAATTAGTGGGTGCCATTGGCCACATACATATGATATTTTATACATTTCCATTATAAAGACAAATTTTGTATGATTTTGTTATTTAACCTCAGCATCTATTTTTTATTCCAAGCAAAAGGTTGCTTATTTGGTGGGCACTGTCACTTACTGTTGTTATTACTATCAAACAGCAATTTAAGGAGTTTTAAACCACTCAGCAGTTATGTCTGTGACTGTGTTCACAGAACGGCTTTAGAGTTACTCATCAGTGCCCAGTGACACACCAATTTTAGCAGCGCACACCTCAAAGGCTCGAACAGTTTCAACTCTAGTTAAAAATACCACCATGGCCCCCAAACTTTATATATATAAAGAAGTTTTTTATACAAAAATAAGAGACATAAATCTGAATCCTACAAATATATAAATCTGATTATTTATAATGTGATTTAATGATTAAATTTCTCGTTCTCATAAAAAAAATTGTCATTTCACTAGATATGTTGCATATGTATACGTAGAGTGAGGGAATTATAAAAAATAGATTTTATATGTTTAGTTATATTTAATTCTTTGGATTCTAAATTTTTATTTATTTAAATTTAACATTTAATATTTAAAATAAAATTTCCATTGATTTCTCTTTTTCAAAATTCTCAAGTTTTCATCTTTGTTCAAAATCACTATCAATTGAGCTAATTAAACCACGTAATATTCTTTTTTATTCAAAACTTTCCAATCAAAATTTTATACTTTTATCTAAAGTTAAAAAAATATATTTATTCTCTATAAAACTTTAACTTCACATCCTATAAAATTGTTCAACTTTTTAACTTTAAAACCTTTTTTTTATCTGAGTCATGTCATAAATCTTTAATTATTCAAGTAAAAAATAAAGATGTATAAATTTAATGTAGAAGGAATATAATGGAAAATTTAAGTTTAGGTTTCATTTGCATGCCAGGGATATGAATTTGGAAGCTTTTATAAACAATATGGTGTACGATGTGAAATGCTCTGTTCATTCCTGTTGAAACTCCTAACACCTTCAAGTTTAGGAGTAGTCATAATGAGTGGAGCTTTTTATACTGCAACCCAGGTCTTTTTATCATTACATTGTAACATATTCTGTATAAACTATGAAAGCAAGCATCAATGAGTTTTATTTTATTTCATTTTTATAAAAAAACACTAACATTTATGTATGTAATACATGAATGAGGATGGTTATCTTTAATCCTTGGTCCTGATAATGATAATGGAACCTCTACCCCTAGTGTGAATTCTAGTAAAAGATGCCACTGCTTTTCCTGACCAGCCAAAACCTTTGGCAAATTTGCAGGGATGAGTCATAGGATCTTCCACAAGGTGTGGAATTGGCTTTGATGCTGATGGTGTCATGAGAATCTGGTTATTTATATCTTTGAGGGTTGTTTCCGCTTCAACTCCTCCACCCTTCACCAACTCAAATGGGTAAGCAATTCTCTTCCGTTGTTGACCTTCTGGAAACACCATCAGAAAATTAACAAAAATGGACACAAGTGAACCATTATAACTTGGAAAACAAATGCAAGAAATTAGGATGAAGAAGCTGTGGAATAACTAGAAAGTGGTCGTGCTAAATCAAGGGCACTTTTTTAGTTTCAGCAAAAGTGTGTCATAATTGAAACCCAATTAAGATTTATAAACACCCAACTTTGTCACTACTCATTTGACACCTTTCATTTTTTTTCTCTCTCTCCGACGCATCACATCACTCTTCATATTTATCACTTTTCTCTCTCGTTTATTTTCTTATATCTAAGTGTTAGTGTCTACCAAACACATTTTCATCTAACTCACTAGATGCATAGCTCCTCCGAGCAGGATCATGTTTGATAGCAGCTTCATGTGTGTCACTTTGTGGTGGTGATGATGATAGGTTCGTAGCGATGACCTTTTCCTGGTGTGTAAGGCAATAATCTACAAAAGCGATGAGTAGACATCAGTTGTATTGTATATAATGCCAAAATTATAGCATCGGTGGTGTGGTGGGTAGGTTTCATTTCAATTACTATGACTTTATACGATTATTCCACAATCCATATACCAAGTTTTATACACCTTATTGCCACAGAATTTGATAACCATAAACATATTGACAATGGAGTTGCTGAACAAAATCAAGATAGATTGAAAACGATACCAAGGCATACATACCATGAAGTTGTGCTATTGTGGAACATGTTGGAAATTGATCAACCTGATCATCAAAATTACTGAGTTTTCAGTTACAACTAAGGGCTGGGAATAACGAAACTAAGCAAATTGTCTTAGATATAATAATATAAAACCTGAATATATAACCTTTTGATCCTTAGAGCAGGATGGTGACTTTTGCTCCTTGCACTGAATAACCCTGCCAGCAATGGCATCTTCAAGGTACCCAGTTGATGTATCAGATTGAAACCAAGATTCTGGTGTAGGCATAAGCAAATTAAGACCAGAAACAAGTGGAACTAATTAATGGGGTCAATCATTAGCATTATTGAAAATGGAAACAAATGAAGCCCATACAAGTATATTGAAAATCAAAATGCAAATATTATTTATATATATATAGCATGCATACCAAGTGCCAGATCTGAATGAGTGACTCCATTCTCCAATTCCATGGAGTTAGTGCTATCAGAATGCAAGCTGTTATGGTGTAAGTGTGACATAGCGGGAAAGGCTTCTCTTTATGCAATTTGATTGATCATGTTTATAAGGAAAAAGTTTCTTAATCATACAATGGGTGCACACGGAGAGAGAGATAGGAAGAGAAGAAAAAATTAATAAATATAATAAGTAATGTAATGTAATAGGAAAAGAGACAGAGATGAGAGGTGTTGAATTGACGTTGATAATGTTGGGAGTTTTTAAACTTCAGAATTGAGTTTAAAACCCATAATTGAATAAACAAATATATATATATATATATATATATATATAAAGCAATCAGTATAAAAAAAAAAGCCTATATTTTAATTAAAACTTATTTTATTTTAATCTTCAACCAATTAAATTCACTTACTTGCATTCGTACATGTTCGTACCATATTCATTGGAACTAAATAGTATGCATTTCAAAAATAGAACCAAAAGATAAATGAGATAACTTTTAAATATCCCAAAATATTGTTCACAAAACATTCATTAGGAAAATTATCGGATTGGTTCCTTTGAATAGCTAAAATACCCGCCTAATTAACCATGTAAATCAACGTAAATAGGCCATCTAAATTAATTTGTGAATTTTCAGGGTATGTATGGGTACTGTAAAATTTGAAGTCTTGGTACGGTGGCAAGAAGTTTCATGTGTTATTCAGGCACGACAGCTTTATCAGTCTTCAGCCCACACTTTGTGACAAGCATTCCCAAAAGAAGTTTAACCTGAAAAGAATTTAAATCTCACTGTTTACAATATGAACAAGTAGTTTCAATTCTGAAACATTGGTCATCCACAACAAACCAATGAAACTGCATTTTCTTTATGCATTTTCAATTCTGATTTACTCTTATAAATACGAGCCTAAATTGAATAAAGATAAATATGTTTATAACTGAACTGATGTATCACATTCTCCTCAACCCAATCGAACCTGAGGCTACAGCAAATTAACCAACAAATGAAGTTCAAAAAGAATATCTGATATTCCAACCAGATATGCTTCAGCAATTGCTGTCATAAGTGATTCATCCATTTCTTTGCATGTTCTCAAGATCAATGATTCGCCTCTCCATCTGCACATAAAATAGTACAGAGCGAAAAAAATGAATCAGAATATTTGAATTTCTTACTACCAGCTTGATTTACAATGACTTGAAGGAAAATCATGATAAACAAATGTTACTATTGGGATATCAACGCAATGCGGAAAACTGGATCGAATTTAATTGGAAATGAAGAGAAGTAAGAGAATAATGGAAACAAAATTTTAACGTGGGAAAAACTCCAAATCGGAGAAAAAAAACCCACGGACAACGACGAGCAAAATAATTCCACCATGTAAAAGGGAGAGTACAAAAAGTCCTCTAAAATTATGAGGACAAAGAGTAATAAATTACTCTATTTTTTCTCTCAATAAATACTCTCTCAGAATGGAATAAGAGTTACAAAATAACACTCTCAAATTTCTTGTTCTAATCAGTGAATGATCGTTTGGTGTATCATTCAATCGTTCCTACACTGAGTATTTATAGGCAAAGTTTTGTGAAGATTTTCAATATTGCTACAGTAAATTACTGTAGCAATTTTGAAAAAATATGATCGGTGCCTACCAAATGCAAAAATCAAAATCGGTGCCTAACTTTGCAGGAAGGAACGAAAACTGAGACACCCTTTTTGACTAACAATCTCCACCTTGGATCAGTTTTGATAAATTGCTCAACGTCATTTTTCCCCGAAGGGTGTTCAAGTGCTGTAGAGACCAACCAAGTCCAAAAAATGTTGGAACTTGGCCTTTGGAAGAGGCTTAGTAAGCATATCAGCTGGATTCTCAGATGTATAAATCTTCTGAACAACGACTTCACCCTTAGCAACAGTTTCTCGGATAAAATGATGTCTCACATCAATATGTTTTGTCTTGTCATGATAGCGGTTATTCTTGGTCAAGTAAATAGCACTCTAACTATCACAAAACACAGTAAAAACATCATGTGTAAGACCAAGTTCATTAATCAGACCTTTAAGCCAAAGAGCCTCTTTCACACCCTCTGTTGCTGCAACATATTCAGCTTCAGTAGTAGATAATGATGGAAGAGACTGAAGCTGAGCTTTCCAACTAATAGCACAGTTACAGAGAGTAAATATGAAACTAGAAAAAGATCTTCTTTTGTCAAGATCGCCACCATTATCCGAATCAACAAAACCTGTAACTTCAGTTGTTGCATGATTTTTATCGAATACCAAGCCAATATCAGAAGTACCTTTGAGATACCAAAAAATCCATTTTACAGCACTCCAATGATCCTTTCCAGGATTATGCATATACCGACTCACCATGCTAACGGCATATGCTAAATCAGGTCTAGTGCATACCATAGCATACATAAGACTGCCAACAACACTAGCATAAGGAACGCGTGACATACGCTCCATGTCTTCCTCTGTCTCAGAACAAAGGTCAGATGATAACTTGAAATGTGCAGCAAGTGGAGTAGAAACAAGTTTGCAATTAGACATATTAAACATGTCAAGCACTTTCTCAACGTATTTTTGTTGAGATAGGAACAATTTACCAGCTTGACGATCCCTGCAAATCTCCATACCAAGAATCTTCTTAGCTGCACCCAATTCTTTCATCTCAAACTCATTATTGAGTTGAGTTTTTAATTTTCTGATCAGAGACTTGTCACGTGATGCAATCAACATATCATCAACATATAGTAACAAGTATATGTAAGATTCATCAGGAAGTTTTTGAAAATAAATACAGTCGTCATATTGAGTTCTGCAATAACCTTGCCCAATCATAAAGGAATCAAACCTTTTATACCATTGTCTCGGAGCTTGTTTGAGTCCATATAAAGATTTTTTCAATCGGCAGACAAGATGCTCCTTACCAGGAACAATAAATCCCTCAGGTTGCTCCATATAAATTTCCTCTTCCAGCTCTCCATGCAGAAAAGCTGTCTAAACATCAAGTTACTCCAATTCCAAGTCAAATAAAGCAAAAAAAGCAAGCAAAACACGTATGGAGGTATGACGAACAACAGGTGAGAAAATTTCATTAAAGTCAACACCTTCCTTTTGGCTGAAGCCTTTAACAACCAATCGTGCCTTGCATCTAGGATCTTCAACCCCGGGAATGCCGTCTTTCTTCTTATAAACCCATTTGCATTTCAAAGGCCGTTTGCCCTTGGGAAGTTCTGTTAAACTCCAAGTACCATTGTTATGAAGACTTTCAATTTCTTCATTCATAGCCACTAGCTATTTTGAAGAATCAGCACAAGAAACAGCCTCAGTATAACTGGCTGGTTCAATGTCATTATTTATTTCTTGTGCAACAGATAATGCATATGCAATTAAATTATCATCATAAGCATAATTTGCATATCTAGCTGGCTTAGTAATCGTCCTTCTTGGTCTGTTTTGGGCAATGGAATACTCCTCTTCCTGCGGCTGAATTGGAGAAGTGGTAATCTCATCAACATCATCGTCACCACAAATATCAGTGCTAGACTCATTGATAGAAGTAGATGGAACATCAACATTAGGAGTTGTAGATTTCAACTCCAACTCCACCTTCTCGCTAGTACCCTGCAGATTATTAGTACTAGTAGAAGAAATCACAGAAGTTTGTTTTCCAGAAGATAATAAAGCATCCTCATTAAAAGTCACATCTCTACTGAGAATTAATTTTTGTGACTTAGGATTTCATAAACGATATCCTTTAGATTCAGATGCATAACCAAGAAATATGCACTTGACAACTCTTGGAGCTAATTTGCCATCATTGACATGTGCATAAGCAGGACATCCAAAGATTCTCAAATTGGAATAATTAACAGGATTACCTGATCAAATTTCTTCTGGAATTTTGAAATTAAGTGACGAGTGTGGAGAACGATTGACCAAGTAACAAGCAGTTGATACTGCCTCGGCCCAAAATTCACGTCGATACCATAACCTAGCATTTGAGAGCATACAACGAGCTCTCTCAAGTAGAGTCCTGTTCATTCGTTCTGCAACACCATTTTGCTGGGGTGTTCTTGGAATGGTTTTATATCTAGCAATTCCATGATTTGCGCAGAACTCAATAAATTCATCGTCACAGAACTCCAATCCATTATCCGTTCTGAGCTTCTTGATTTTTCTCCCTGTCTGGGTTTCAACAAGAGTTTTCCACTTCTTAAAAGTGGGGAAGGTCTCATTTTTATACCTGAGAAAATAAACTCAAACTTTGCGAGAAAAATCATCAATAATAGTCATCATATAACGGCGTCCTCCATAAGAGGGAACTTTAGAAGGCCCCCAGAGATCATAATGAATATAATTAAGAATACCCTTTGTACGGTGAGTTGTAGTAGAGAAACTTACTTTTTTCTGTTTCCCAAAGACACAATGTTCACAAAACTCCAACTTACCGATACCTTGATTACCAAGGAGACCTTGCTTGCTCAAAAGATGCATGCCTTTTTCACTCACATGGCCCAGGCGCATGTGCCATAATTTGGTGACATCATTATCAGGCATAGAAGAAGATACAGCTGCTGAATCTGTCACAACAGAACCTTGCAAGAAATATAAAGTACCAACTCGGTTAGCTTTCAACAAAACAAGGGCACCTTTTGATACCTTTAGGACTCCACCTTCAGATGAAAATTTGCACCCAAGAGATTCAAGGGTGCCAAGAGAGATAAGATTCCGCTTTAATTCAGGAATAAAGTGAACATTAGTCAGAGTCCTGACAACACTATCGTGAGCCTTGATCTGAATAGTACCTATTCCTTCAACTTTGCATTGGGTATCATTAGCCATTAAGACAATACCACCATTAATTGGTTCAAAAGTGGTAAATAGATCCCTATAAGCACACATGTGGTATGTGCATGCAGAGTCAAGAAGCCATTTATCTTTACTTCTCTTGTCAGAAGAGACAACAGATGCCATAACATCTCCATCAAAATCAGTCTCAATATTAGCAGCTTCAACAGGTTGTTTACCTTTTTCTTTCTTTTGTTTATTTTCTTCTTTTTTCTTTAAGATAAAACAATCAGAAATATCATGCCCATATTTTTTGTAATAACGACAGGTAGTGTTGGATTTTCGTCCCCTAAATTTGGATCTACTCTTTTTGTGACTAGTACTCCCTTTGACTTGAGTTCTACCTCTAGCACTTAGACCCTCACCCTTGTCCTCAGAATGAATTTCAAGATCAAATTTTTCTTTGGACAATAAATTAGATTTAACATCTTCAAAGGATAATGTGTCATTATTACCATACAACATAATTTCTTTGAAGTGTTTGTAGGTAGAAGGTAAAGAGACAACCAACAAAACAGCTTTATCTTCATCATCGATTTTAATATCGATATTTTGTAGATCCATAATAATAGAATTAAACTCATCAAGATGAGATTGAATGGGAATACCTTCTATCATATGGAACGTATATAATCGCTCCTTGAGACGAAGCTTGTTGGCGAGGCTTTTAGTCATATACAAAGTTTCCAACCTTAACCACAATTCCGCAGCGGTGGTTACGTCGGTCACTTCACGTAGAACCTCCTTGGACAAGCAAAGTTGGATTGCTAAAAGAGCCTTTTCATCCAACTCATCCCATTGCTCATCGGTCATGGAAGCCGGTTTTTTTAACTTTCCATCTAAAGCTTTCTTTAATCCGTTCTGAGTAAGAACGGCTCTCATTTGGACTTTCCAAATAGAAAAGTTAATCTTGCCATCAAACTTCTCAATGTCAAATTTTGTAACGGTAGACATTTCCAATTAAATAACAGCTCTGATACCACTTGTTGGGGTATCAACGCAATGCGAAAGACTTGATCGAATTTAATTAGAAATAAAGAGAAGTAAGAGAATAATGGAGACAAAATTTTAACGTGGGAAAAACTCCAAATTGGAGAAAAAAACCCACGGATAATGACGAGCAAAATAATTCCACTATGTAAAAGGGAGAATACAAAAAGTCTTCTAAAATTATGAGGACAAAGAATAATAAATTACTCTATTTTTTCTCTCAATAAATACTCTCTCAGAATGGAATAAGAGCTACAAAATAACACTCTCAAATTTCTTGTTCTGATCAATGAATGATCATTTTCTGGTGTATCATTCAATCGTTCCTACACTGAGTATTTATCGGCAAAATTTTGTGAAAATTTTCAATATTGATACAGTAAATTACTGTAGCAATTTTGACAAAATATGATCGGTGCCTACCAAATGCAAAAATCAAAATCGGTGCCTAACTTTACAGGAAGGAACGAAAACTGAGACACCCTTTTTGACTAACAGTTACTGTCAAATTTCTGTATCTTAGGTTTCTCAACCAAATTAAAAGAAAATTCTCCAATTTATTTGACAACTACAGAAACCAAATATAACCCTCAATTTGAAATTTCTAGACCAAATAAATGTTGATTTAGTGTTTCTCAGTTTGGTTCCTTCATTTCCAATGTTCTGAATTCAGCAAAAGTTAATCATTTCCAAGACCAATCAATACATACTGATTTACAAATTCCCCCCCCCCCCCCCTCCTCCCTAAACGGCACAATTCAAATTATGTATCAACAGTAATTAAAAAATTCAATCCATAATTCGAGCACAACTTGAGAAAATGGTTCACTAAAAGCTTTCTTGAAAATTATTCTTTAGAACTGTCATATTAAGAAGGAGAATTAGTGAATCAGATGCAACATGAAAGACATGAATGATAAGCATTGGCTCTCTTTGCCTTGGTGTCAATTATTCCATGTAGCAACCCAGCTAGCATTGTAAGGCTGCTTTGGGGGTTGTTGATATGCATCTAAAGTTGCATGAAAGAGTTTTTTTACTCATTCTTGTCTTTCATCTCACAAGCATAAAGAAGTTCAGGACATGCACGTCTCACATTCTCTGTGCCAACACTTCAACAGGCAACGAAAAGCAAAATACATCACTTAGAAAATATTGAGAGTAAAAAAGGGAAAGTCAAGTTATACACTTGGCAGTTAGCTCATTACCACTAATGTGATATAAAAAGCATATCAACAATAACAATTTTTAATTTGACAAGGAATGAATCTACAGATTTTCATAAACTAGTGACTGCAACCATGAACAAAACACTAATTTTTTCTTTATTCTGGATATTTCTTTTGTTTGACAGATATATTGTGATAATACAAAGGGGAACCCCAGACACATCTGACATCTCCTTTGAAACCTTAAACAGAGGATGCCTTGACACACAAGAAAGTTTAGTCCTGACATCGTAAAATGTTGGAAAAGAAACTTCAAATTTGATCTACAGTATATTAGAAGATATTTTCTCTATATATTTCAATATATAACAAGGTCAATCAATTGAAATTAATCAATTATACAAGATCTTGGAAGTTTATTTGATTATCAGAACACATTGCTGAGACAAGAAAAGCAAAGTATTTCATTACACAGGTTCCTACTTCCTATTCATACAAACTAAACTTAGAAAGTAAACAAAAAACTGATAGCCAGTGAAATTTGCATTGTTAGAATACATTTGATCGGTCAGAGTAGAGAACAAATTAATGCAAGCAACGCAGAAGCAGGTGATAGCTCTCACAAGATAGTCTCGTTGAACAGACTCCTTCATGGTTGGGGTTGACAGAATTGGTCATTAACATTTGCACTAACTATGCTGAATACTGACAGATTTTTTAGGCTACTGAAGGGAAATTAGGCCTATTTTAAATCTGTGACAAAATCCTGCATTTAACATCCTGAAATGAAAAGATGATCCGGCTAAAACATAAAGCAAAGCTTAATATTTAAATAGATAAAACTCTAGGAAACAGATTATGTGGAACGATGGGATAAAAAGAACCTAAAAGTCAGACCCCTTCATACACACTAAAACATTGGTTTTCTGATAAGCTACCATTCCTACCATGAATAATCAAAAGTCAAATCAATTAAAGAAAATGGACAAAACAAGCACAGACAAAATATTATTACTTAAACTACCTTATAGCAATATAACAAAGAATGAGCCCATATTACCCACTAAAAATAACACAAATGTCTTGAGTGTGAAACTACAAACTAACAATATAAACCGATCCACAGCAAAATGATAATATTACATATAAACAAGACTTGATAAATCCTAATTACATCATTAATCCTATAGAGGATGAAGGAGGGGTTAAGACTCGGGCCTTGGCTTTGTGCATTATTCAAGTTTCGAGTGATTATTTCATTAAGCTATTTTTTTTTTCGGTCGAAGTACTTCGTTCACGAAAAAGATGCCGAAGCTCGAAGCCCAACAGGCCAGCAGCCAAACAAAGGCGTAAGGCCACACACGGCACAATAGGCACGCTGGCTTAAGAAACTTCCCGAATCACGTGTGAAAATATAAACTCAGTTTTAATCCTAGTCAGAAAGTCCAGAGAAAAATATAAACTCAATCCGGAGCAGAAACCCTAGATCTCAGTTTTCCCTAATCGACTCGACTACGAAGTGAGTATCAGGTGCCGGCGGAAGCCTGTTCAACCTCTTCGTATGAACGAGTGATATGATCCACATTCTTATGGAGCTGGAGCAGTAATCAAGGTGGCGGTGGTACCACCCAGTTTGGGAAGAGTCGATTCTGTGCAAGACGAGCTGATGCAAGGTGAGCACACTGATTCCCCTCTCTTTAAACCCACAAAAGTCCTTTTCATGGAATCTCTCTAGCTAGTGACCATATATCCTCGATTATACCTCTGACATCTAATATCTCCCTTTTGCACGCCCTTATCAGGTCAAACGAATCAGATTCGAAGAGGACGTTTTGGCACTGAAGATTGGAGGTCAGAAGCACTGCATCTCTGAGCTACTAGGGCAGATGCAGCGAAGCACTTCCTAGCACAACCTGAGATCAGTTGGTCATCAGCTGTTGAAAGCTGCGTCACAATTACATTTGAGCTAGTCACTTTGAGGCGGTCGCCACCTGGTAAATACCCTAGACCTTTGTCTGAGATGTTGCATTGTATCGCTTGAATCAACCCTACTGAGTTTATATCTTGGACTAGGCTTTGAATCTGAGTAATGGTGAAATAGGGGTTAGTCTGAATATTTTCATGTACAAAAGCGTTCTTATTTTTTCAAATGCACCATAGAGTACAATAAATTTGTATAACTGCAAAAATTCTTGTAATCTGAAATATTCTGAACATCTTTAAACCTTTGGAGAATCCATTCATGTAAACTTGAGACATCATGCAGCGTAGGAGTACATTGCAACTGATTTCCAAACTAGACGGGCAAAGTAGTAAGGGATGTTCCATTGTTTCTTCAGTCGAATTACAGATAGGACATACTGTATCGTATAAAATTCTCTTCTTTTCTAAATTCCCTTTCACTTCTAAGATTTCATGACAAGTTTTCCATATAAATATCTTAATTTTTTTAGTGACATTAGACTTCCGAACAGTGTTCCTAGGTAGAGGGTCTGAGTTAGAGGATGTAGATGGGGGACACAGGGTAGAGAGCCCATCCTCTTAGCTGCCTGGTAACCTGTCTTCACTGAGTTCTCTCCCTCTCTAGTAAAAGGCCACTCAATTCTATCTTCGGAGTCACTTGAATAGGAGTCTGAAGGACCAGCTTTGTCTGATGGGGAGGACCAACCTGCAGTTTGTATGTCTCATCTATGCAAGGCTGTGTTAATGAAATACGAAACTGGCCTATATTCTACATGATCAGACCTGCTGATTAGCTATTTCATTAAGCTATTTAAAAAGAATATTGCATGGGCTGAATTTGAACCGGGTGTCTGCATGGCTTTTAAGCTACGTCAAGACATGTAACTGGATTTCCATGCATGTAGTACAAGATGCTAGTTAAGCTTTGTTGTTGCACAGTACCTTTTTTGGTCCTGGTTGTTTGTTGTATTAGTTGTGCTTAAGTTGTTCTTTGGATGAAGCATGTATAAGCTTTTTTTCTCTCTTTTTGGAGAATTTGATGTGGTCTACACACACACACACACACACGCACGAGGGTGGTTTGGGCTAGAAGAAATGAATTCTGATCTTAGATATATCTAAGAATAATTGTTAGGTGAGATAAAGATGATTCAATTTCTAAAATCTAGTTTCAATTCTTGGATCAGAGACAATGATTCAAGTTGGGAACTAGGTGGTGAATTCTGAAATAGACATTAAACCCACGTTGACCTACTGGACTAGGAGATGTGTTCGGGATAATTTTGTTTTTATGATTTTTATAATTTGCAATAAGTAGAGATGGTCCTGCTATGATGAGATTGTCTTTTAAAAAATCAATCCTTTTCAAGATAGATTTTTCTTTTACGGTATGTTTGAAAGAAGTGATGTATAATAAATAATCTAAAAAATGATAAACTATTATTTTAGTTTCTAAAAGTTTAGTATTGACCACTTAAAAAAGGAAATTAATGTAAATATTTTTGAAATTATATTTTATAAATTCTTTACGCTCTTACGTGCAATTTTGCATCAATTACATAATTTTAACAGATTTGCTCACATATATAACTTGTTAATTATTGATCTGTAGAATTTTTATATGGTTCATAAGTATAGAAGTTTATCTTTCTTAGAAACTAAAAAACAAAATAATAATTTAAATAATAAGTTTAATGAAAGTTCAAATTCATTTTATAAAATAAATGAAAATCGTTTCAAGTTCAATCAAGTGCACCTTGACTGGTTTATCATTGTCAACCTGCTAAGAGTTTTGAAGTTTCACCTCAAACAGGCCATAGGTATCTGTATAACCTTGAAATAACCTTTTTTCGTTTTCATTGTTTCTTACAAATATTAAAAATATGAAATAAAATAAAATATAATGTAGCAGGTTTATAAATAAAAGTGAAAATTTACAAAACCAAACAGACCTTAGGTTTTGAACAAAATTATGAGCAAAGGATTCTTTAATCTATTTTTTCTAATACATTTTTTTTTATTAATAACTAAAATATATTAAAAATTACAGAATGATTTAATCTCACTTCTAAATTAATGAGTTTTACTTATAATGTATATATTTTAAAAGCATTTAACTAAAAATTAAAATATATTAAAAAAAGTTCAATGAAAAATCTATCGCGCTTCAGAAATATTATTCACGATAGATATCTGTATAAAATGATAAGTAATATTAACAAGTCAGTATAGGTCGTTGCAGTTTTGCCATTACCGGTAAAATCCCTTGTTATGGGCTATGGCTTCGAGTTTGTCTTAGTTGCTCAGACCTGAACTCATTTTTCGTTTTTTTTAATCTGAAATTGTTTTTGTTTTAGGACTCTCTTCTGTTGTTGGTCTCAAGCATTGTAACTGTGCATATTTGTGTGAAGAAGCTGCATTTGTATTTTGTCTGAAGTTTCGTGTACCTTTGTTTTGTTTGTTTCGTGCATATTTGTTCGTGCTCTGTTTAAATTTTGGCTTTGTAAAATTGTTACATAGTGCCTACTAATTTGGTGTTCTGTTTCTTAATAATTTGTATGTTTTAGTTTAATGGGCAATTTAAAGAACCCACAAAGGAATAAGCTATAGTCAGACATTAATTTTAATGTTAAGGTGATTGTTTCATGCTATACTTTGCACTAAATATATTTTTATAGTTAATTGATATTGATTTACATGAAATGTGAAGCAGAATTGTCATGAAATTAAGCTTGATCTACTTAACTTTTATTAATTTTCAAAGCATATGAAAAAAATATGATAAAGATAAAAGATATAATATAAGAAAAAGCAAATGAATAATCACTAAACTGAATAATTAGATCTTTGAATACATTATCTCCAGTGAGGTGATTTTTATTTATTTATTCATTATTCTATATTATTTTAAATAGAATTTAATATTTATTATCATTTAATTAGATAAATTAAAAAAAATATGTTTTTTAATACTACTCGTTTATTATTATTATCAGTTACTGATTCTAGTGATATATATATATATGTATTTTCAAAATCTTTGTTTATTTTTTTTCATAAATGAATTTTGATGGATTTGTGAGACTAGAACAAGAAAAACAACTTGGAGAGAAAAACATGGAAGGAGAAATTATTCTTAAACAATTCGTGAGGGTAGTGACCAGAGCCTGAACAATTGGTAAATAGACTTAAAAACCTAAGCCTTCAGTGAGGAAACAATTTCATCTATTTATAAACTAGCATTATACTTTGCACTAGCATAAACTAGAAAACAATTTTTAGTGAATTAAAATTCGTATAAGTGATAATTTTAGTTATAAAACGTGCATTCAATGTCAGAGCTATTGACTTGAAACAGCAAGATTTGGTTTGATAAACTTCTGGTTTAATACTGCAAGATTCACTCTTTATGTTTCAAAATTGTTAGCATGATATTATCAAAGAAAACATCACTCTAGCTCATTTTACAGACTTGTTGTAGTAAACACTGAAAAGATACTATTACTTCATCAAACTCAGTTAATACTCCATAGTTGAACAAAAAAAAGAACTTCTACTGATACTAAAAATATTCTATTCTAATAAAAGTATAAAAATTTCTTTTTGAAGCATAAATTCTAGTTTTATGCCTTAAAATGGGTGAAAATTGACTTGTATGTCTGATAGAGTGCTTGTGAAATGGATTTCCACTTTTTTATTATCACCCGGATAACATCTGTGAATTCATGATCAATCTATTGTTATTATATGTGTATAAATCATATTTATTTTATCCTTTAATTTGAATATGTATTTTTATTTATGTTCTTAATATTGTTCTTTTTTAGTCATCTAATGATAAATAGAAAGAAAAGGGAAAAAGAGAGAATTGAACATGTTCCCATATTTGTGATTTTTATAAATCTTTGTCTGCATTGTTGTCCCTTATCCTGTTCTTGGATATGTTGTATTTAAATTTGACCCCTCATAAAATTGCTTGATTTTTAAAAACCTAACCAGTAACATTTTGGAGTGTTATCACATAGTTAAGCTATTACTTGCAGATTTTGCTGGCAAGCCATTTGAACCTTGTGTTTGCTATTAGATCAATTGCTTGAACAGTTTTTAGTATCTCGGTGCTTTCTTCTTGCTTACCAATGTAAAGACTTAAAAATCTAAAAATATCCTTTCTTCTCTTCTAAGAAATTTACTATCTTGGCATTAACTTTTTTACTGAGCTTTGTTAAATTAGCATTGAATCAGAAATGATAATCTGATTACTCATTCTGTAGGGCTAAATGGCACCAAGATGGAAAGGAAAAGATGCAAAAGCTAAACAGGATGCAGAAGCTACAGCGCTTAGGGAACCCATGTCAAAAATCACTTCTCAACTTCAGTCTTCTATACTTCAATCAGATACTAGTGGATTTCTCTCTGATAACAGTGTACACTTAGTAGTGGGAGCAGAACAAATTGATCTGCTTAATAAAGCATGTTTTGGTCGACCTGTGAGAATAGTTGAAAAGGACAAACAATGGTTTCAATTAAGCTTTGAGGAAGCATTCTACCTAAGTTATTCCTTGAAATGCCTTAAGATTAATGACAGTGATACTGGTCACCACAATAATGAAGAGCTATGGCATTACATGAAATCCAACAAAGAAACATTCCCTTCCTTCTACAAGGCTTATTCCCACCTTCGAATGAAAAATTGGGTAGTGAGATCAGGAGCTCAGTATGGTGTTGACTTCATTGTCTATCGTCATCATCCAGCTCGGGTTCATTCTGAGTATGGTGTGCTTGTTTTATGTGATGGAGATGCTAAAGATCTAAATGGAAGATTGAGAATATGGTCTGATGTTCATTGCACAACTCGTCTTCTCGGAAGTGTTGCAAAAATCTTACTGGTTTTATATGTAAATAAAAATAGAAAAGGTGATGAGTCTCCATTATGTTTGGCACACTATACCGTTGAAGAGCGCACAATTACAAGATGGAATCCTGAACAATGCCGTGAAAAATGTAGTTCATGCTAATATCTATAACAAAACTAGGTAGTAATTATTGTATGTCACAAGTACATTATCATTTTATTAGGTATCGTATGGATGTAGCATTAACAATAATGCAAAATAAAAATATAAAAACAGTACTTTTCTATAGTCTATTATTTAAAGGATATTATTGATATTAAAATATAGCAAAATTTTAGGAGCTATACATAAAAATAAAATTGATATAAATTACAATAATACAATGGAAATACAAAATATGGTAGCAAAGTATATGTATCAAACACTTGTTACAAACACTTATTATAAGCACAGAAGATATATCAAAATTATTAACCTGAAAAATTCCTTTCAATGTGAAAGATAAAACTTATTAATTCTTTAAAATAAAGAATTAGGTAAGAGTACCCAAAAAAAAAAGGTTATTATTGAAACAAAAAATAGAGCTACTATAATTTTACGGTGAATAAATCTATAATTATAATTTTACGATTATTATTGAATTTGAGAGAGTTTCACCCACTACTTATCTCTTTTTGATAAAATGACATCTCTTTAACATATTTAAACCCTTTTCCATTTATTAAGCAATTTTTAAAAAAATATATATATAAACAAAAAGGGAGTTTATACCCAATAAAACTTTGATTCGATCCAATTCATCTTGAACACAAAAGAATTTAAATTAGATTGATTTGACTGATTTGATTTCTTATATATATATATTAATACTATTCAAAATACTATATTAACACTGATTGAATTTTCTTTCTTATATGAACTTAAAATTATTTTAATTTGAGAACTAATAATAAATAATCAAATAAACATGTTCACTTGTGTCCGAAACAAAACATGACCTTTATCCTCTCTTTTTCAACATGTAATGAGTGGTGATAAATATTTCTCTGTTATTGAAAATTTTATTAACAACTATCAAAACTACATTAAAGTCGCATGGGAATTTATCTACGTCCGTGCTTTTCAATTGCACTATTTGTGTGAGGAAAGCCAATATTTTATTTTCGGCTATTAACATTAACATAATCAATATTTCATAAAGAAAAAACGTTATGTACGTACCAATATAAACTTCAATTTCTAAGAAGATCCGGGCATATATATACAAGCAAATATAAAGTCGCTACCTTAGTGATCGAGTTGTTCAACATAGCAAAGAATGTAGAATTGAAAAGTTTTATATACAAGGCGATTTTAATTTGTTTCTTCCTCTCTTCCCAGGAGTGGTGTTATCCCACACATTGCTTCGAAACGATTGTCATTGCTCCTATATCAAGATTAATTATACATTTCCATATGTTCAGAAAATTTGGAACATGAAATGTAAAGCAATTGATTGTTGTAAAGTGTAATAGTTCTCTATATGGGTAGAGTGAGATAAACATTTTAAATTAATTATGATTGGATGTTACCAAACACATACAGTCATGTATTCTAATAAATTTCGCAATAAACCTTTCATTCACTTAATATTTTCTACATATATATAAAATAATTTTTTTAACTATTAGAAAATCAAAGATATATTTGAGCAGTTAAAAAGTATGATAGGAAAGCAAGTTGCAAAGAGATTTTTCTAGCTTCTTTATTTCTATTAATTAACAAAGTACAAGTAGATTTTAGAAGCTTAATGTCAAGGATTACATCTCTTCCCTTTATTCGTTATACCCTTTTCCTTTTTAAAATTGAAAATGAATAGTGATATTAAGAACAATCATTGTCTATATATGTTCAACTAATACATCAATTAGAAGCTAATCCCAGGTGACATGACCTAATCCGTGTGCATACACCTGTGATTTCCAGTGGATTACTGTGTGGAAAGCTAGATTCACTGTCTTTGTGAAATGTCACACCTTTATTCCATATTCCACACCACCTTAATTTGCCACAATTTTCCTTATCTATAAGGAACAAAGCGCACTCCATATTAATATATTATTCCTTTCCCTTCTTTATGCATACCATTCTTAGTCTTGCGCTTTCACGAACATTCTTCTATACTTCTCAAAACCATTTGCGCAGTCTCCAAACAACACCGCTGAATACCAAACACATACGCCAACTATAAAATAGAACTCAACTTTGTGTTGTTGCCAGCATCGTTCAAAGATGGCAAAGGCACGCATAGTTGGAGTAGCTATGGACTTCTCTCCCACAAGCAAATTAGCCCTTCGATGGGCCATTGATAATCTCATCAACAAAGGTGATCAAATTATCTTGATCAACGTTCAGCCTCCCCAAGCTGATCACACCCGAAAGGAGCTTTTTGGGGACACTGGTTCACGTTAGTACCCCACATCCCTTCCCTTTCTTTCATATATACAAGCTGCTTATTGCGTTTTAGTTTAATTTCAAGTTTGGTAAAATTGATTTTTAACTCATAAATATGATTCAGCAATGTACATAAATTACATATTTTTATTGAAATGTTCAAACGTGTTTTAGGCCTATATGGTATATAGGAATTAATGTTTTGTATGTGATACATAATAAGGTGTTTGTGCATGACTTTTTGTGTGTTTGTTTGGTTAATGGGTTTGCAGCTTTGGTGCCTTTGGAGGAATTGAGGGAGATGAACTTTACTAAGCAATATGGGATTGCTAGGGATCCTGAAGTCATAGATATCCTTGACACTGCTTCCAAGATAAAAGGGGTATTTATGCTGTTTCTTATTGGGTTGTTTAATTTCTTCTGCAGTTATTATGGGAAGAAAAAGTATGGTGTAATTAATTGACACAAATATGGTAAACGTGTGTGTGTTTTGAAGCAGGCAAAGGCAGTGGCAAAAGTGTATTGGGGAGATCCAAGGGAGAAGCTGTGTAATGCTGTGGCAGATCTTCACCTGGACTCTTTGGTTGTTGGAAGCCGGGGTTTGGGTCCAATTAAAAGGTACAAATTTACCATTACCAAGTACCCTTTATATTATTACCACGGAAAAGAAGGAAAAAAAAAAGCGAGTATCTGTCTTTCACCAGATTAATTTGAGGAATTTTAGATATTTTTTCTTGTTAATGTGATTCAAGGAGATAAGTAATTCTTTTTTTAATCTCAGGGTGTTGTTGGGAAGTGTAAGCAAGCATGTGGTGACAAATGCTTCTTGCCCCGTTACAGTGGTTAAGGGAAAGCAATCTTCCAATTCAAGGAATTGAACCCGATTGTGAATGTATAATTATTAATTAGCTTTGCGTCTATATGAAGAAAATGAAGATGTTTGTTTGAAAGGTGCATACGGGGAAAGGAACATAGCTTTGCTTAAATGACAGTACATGATTACTATTAAATAATTTTAATTGCTTATGATACTGTATTTAAGTGATAGTAGTAGTAGTGATTATTTACTTTATCACTTCGATTATTACAACTCTCATAATGATAGATACGAATATGTCATATATTTACTAAACAAACTGTGTGATTGGTTTGGGTTTGGATTTAATCGAATCTCTGTATTGGTTGCTACTACATAATATCTCAGAATTCATGACTAGAGTGTGACGTGGGTAAGATTGCTGTTAACAACCAATGTTGTTAAAACATTAACATTTCATGTATCAACATGTGGACTCGTTAGGCCTAGGGAGGGGCAAATGCACTGGATGCTCCAATTTGTGTGCCAAAGTCGAATATTTTCTCATAGATTTTTACAAGTTTGAAGTGAAATAGTAACTTGTATACTCCTCATTCCTTAAAGTGCACTATAAAAAAAATATTACAAACTTAGGAGCTTTTTTTTTTTCTAAACAATTGAACATTCAAATATTAAATTTTTAAAATACTTTCGAGAAAATAAAGGGCTGTCAATAGTATAGAAGTAAACACAAAGAAACTACTACAGGAAAACCAAGGGAATATGAGCAGAAGTAAACTTGAAGTATACAGTGAATTTTAATTTTTGGGTCACACTTGCATAAACTCCATTAATAGTTGGCTGACAAGAGGGTTTGGCCCAATTGTAAACAATCCCAAAGTGCAATTTAAAGCATGCAAATGGGCTATATAATCTGACAAAAGAACATTTTCACCAATTAAAATGAAACTAAACGCTGGTGTAAGGACATGCAAACTGGGAAGTTTTTGCTTCCCACGCCCCTTCGGATATGTCATTGGATTTGGGCCACTACTACCTTATAATCAATTTTTATGTATTAAATTTCAATATTTATTTTAAATAAAAATATATAAAAGTTAACTGTTTTTAAAAAAAAGCAATCATGCCTGATCTCACATTTTTTTTAAAATGGTATTATTTAAATTTTATTCAATCATAATTTAAATTTTGATTTTAAAATTTAATATAATATACTAACTTAATAAATGTAGATAAGTGATTTATTGAAGTTTCTTTTTTTGTTTGCAAGTTTTGGTTGCAAAGGAGATCCTCTATCTCTGAATTTGTTCAGTCTTTGAATGGAGAAACTAACTCTGGTGATTAACTACAAGTTAGTACGTGTGATTGGCTTTTGATTAAAAAATTTAAGAATGGGTTAGCTATTTTTAATCTTTTACAGACAATTGCCTTCTTTTCTCCAAGGTAAAAGCTTTTCAGTTTGCTTGGTATCTAATGTCCTCGAACAATTTTTGTGAAGCATCTGGCCTTTAAGCCAACCATGAGAAGTCTAAATCCTTATGTTCAAGGAATCTAAAAATAGCTAAGAGAGAAAAAAACTCCATCCAAAGCATGACCAACATCGATCATTACATGGGTTTCCCATATTCAAGGCTGAGCTCCAAAGCACGAGTTTAATTCCAAAGTTGAAAAATATGCAAAATAAATAAATATCTTCCATTGTTAGGTGCATTTGATTATGTGAATGTGACTTTGGAAATGCTTCCAAAAAATTATTTTTTCAAAACACAAAACTTAATGCAATATTGCAAGTTTTTATGATGTTATTTTCCAATCAAACTTAACATCTTATTTCCATATCTAAGCGAACCTTTATATATTAAACTATGAAAGGAAAACTCTAATTTTAATTAAAAAATAACATAATACGATATACACCGAAGTTTTTTCAATGTTTGAATTAAACATTCTCAACAATGCTTATCGAAATCCCTACAAGTATTTGATTAATCATTGATGTGTTGGGTAAATTTTGAAATCAGAATGATTGATATATATTGTTGCCAACCAGACACATCCAAAAGCCATAATCAAGAGTATCCCGTTGGGCCTAGCCATATTAAATTTGATATCATGACCAAAATGTCATTTATTTATTTATAGTTTGTTGAAAAATGAGTCATCAACTTAATCAGTAGCAAAGCCATGAAAATGGAGGTCCACCTCGATTCTTTATTATTGAAGAAACTTCGTTATTTGACCGAAATCACACGAACGTGCTTAAAGTAAATCTTTTAAAGCCCATTATTGTTGTGTCTTTTAAAAGTAACTTCACATCAAGCTACAATCAGAAGTGAACTTGGGAAGCAAAAGTGAAAGCATTGATCATTTGGCTGCATTTAGATGAATTAATCATGGTTGGGTAAGATCTCAAAAACACAGTTTTTTTCAATTAATCAAAGTGGTTCAAGTCTATTATTTGGTGTATATATTAATTGGTAATTGAGTGTGGCTATTGCATGAGGTTCAGTGTGTGGTGGCGCTTTCTTAATTGTCACGACTTGGAAGTTTATTATAAAATGTCTTATAAACAAACAGACAAAACTATTTGTCCTTTATAACTCAAAAAAAGGAGTTCTATAAATTATGTATTATTGTTTGCGTTTGATGCATATGATTATTGATTATGACACTCTATCCCACCTGTTAAATTAATCGTTTTAATCTTTTATGCTTTTAAAATTAAATTCTAGGAATGTATAATTAAAAACACTATATATACACGTTTAAATGTTTAAAATAATTTTTATATTAGTCTTATATGTTTGAGTTTTAATAATTTTTTATTAGAGTATTTTTAACAAAAAAAATTGAAATTTCATAAAAATTATGTGTTTAACTTAAAAAACCGTTTTAGTATTTTCAATAAGCCAAATTAAAGTACTTGTTCATAATGCTGAGAAATATAAAGAAAAGAAAATATATAAACCCGCTTATAACAAAGCAGATGAAAATGTCAATACATATTCAACTAAGTGTAAGTTTTAACATCAAAAAATAGTGTAACCTATTCGTCTCTTAAAATTAAAATGTACTTTTTTTTATAAGCGATGATATGAAATGATACTTGTCTCAAAATAATTTTAAATAAACAACCTATAAAATAATAAATTAATTTTTCTTTTCTTATTTTACTTTTGACAATTATGTATTTGAATATTAACTATACCTCAAGTGATGTCATACACTTTCTGAAAATTACTTTAAAAATACATTTTAGACAATTAAAACAAAAAAAAAATCATTTCAAAACTACTTTACATGTAACATATCTAAAAACATAAAATTTATTTTATATAACTAATTATAAACATAGTTAATTATTCAAATATTTTTCCATAACTAATTCAAACAAATACTAATTTAAATAATTTAGTTTGGCATATTGGATTTTTCATTTGTAAATTAGTCTATACGAATGAACACTCTTATGATATAATCTTCACTCTCTGTCTATTTTCCTTTACTTTGCTTTTCTTTTCTTTTCATTTTTTCTATCAAAAACATCATCGATTAAAAATGCTGAACAACACTTATAAATCTAGAGATCCTAAAGCACGAGAACATTGGAACCTTTTCTCTCATCTGTTTTTTCATTCATTATTGGTATGGTGACCAAGGAACTTTTTGTGTAGATGAGGCCCAACTGCCCAAGAGCGAACCATCCCGAGACCTATCTCACCATAGCTTGCCACATTCTCAGGGGATTATGCAGTTTTATGTTTGCAATTTGCATTTTTCTAAAACAATCATTATTAATTATCAATTAATAACAAATATAAAATGCATACATGTTTTAAACATAAATATAATAAATAGAGTTTCAAATATTCCTCATTTCAATTAAAATTAGAATCATACATTTCTCAACCTTTTCAGATTGCAAAGTTGTTTTTTACTTCAAACAGTTTTCTCATTATCATTTTATCCTTTTTTTTTTAAAGATACTGTTGACACAAATAATACACTATCAATACACAATGGAAACTTTAATTTTAAAATTACATGTGCATTTTCTTCACTCTTAACTAAAAATAGTAAACAAGTAACATAATTTCTGACTTTGGTTGACAAATCTTGCATAAACATTAATCTACACAGCTTAATAACATTTTACTATCATACATATAATCTTGCATAGAACCACAATAATAATAATAATAATAATAATAATAATAATAATAATGTAGTAAGAGATTGAGAAAATCTTTGGTTGGTCTAAAAATAAGAAGAATAGAGTTAGCTAGCCATCATGTAATGTAGTAAGTGAAATTAAGTGAAGCTGCGAAACATGTGTGTGCCCACTTGAATTATCAAAACAAATTTGCAGGCAGCGATGATTTAACACTTGATAGTTCCAGCAATGCTCACCAACTATGGGACCCTTCTGAACTATGTCCGCCATGGCAATCATAACCAAATTCTTCCCAATAATCATCCATGCTACTACTGCAACCAATGCCATACCATATAACCCACATAACTACTTTCCACCTCACACTTTTCATAAGGATAACAAATAAAAAGAACAAGAGACAATGAATTTCCACATGCTTATAATGTATCCACAAAACAAGACATTTAATGAATCTGTCCATCGTAATGCAAGTTATAAATTTCCATTTCACAACATTTCTTGAAATTAAATGCTACTTACCCTTAGCTATCACTTAAGTCATCAACTCTTCAAAAATTTTACTTTTAACATTTAATTTTGCAAAAGAACATTTCTTTTAATTTTTTTTAATGCAAAACAACCATAAAAATGGCGAAAAAATAATTAAAAGAGTGATTTTTTTATAAAATTAAAATAATTTTTTTGTAAAGTTAAAGGCTGGAATTATCGATATTTAAAATAAGTATTTATTTGTGAAAAATTATGAAGCTTTAGGAAGAGTAAATGTGATTAAGACACTTATAACCAACTATTTGTATGGCCATGAATTATTTAAGACTCATTTTCAAAGTTTTAACCTGTTTTTCAAAACATTTCCTACACTCAACAGGCAAATGATTGTAGTCACTGACTCACTAGCTCACACCTCCTATGTCAAAAGCTTCTAGAATATTTGCAATTATAAGGTTCATGTCATATTGGATTTATCCTATTAAGATGCTCTTATATCATAATTATGACTGATTAAGGAGTGTGCAATACTTTACCAAGTAGATTTGTACTCCATATACTATCACTCTGTTCAAACATACACTTACTCGAGCATGAAGTACCTTTGCAGCTACCTGCACCTCTCATCTTGCTCAACTCTACTTCATTGTACTTAACGCATATTTGAAGCAAAGTTCA